AAGACGTACAGAACAGTAGTCAGACCGGTGCTTCTGTGCCGAGCGGACTGTTTGGCTATCCAGAAGGGACACGACCATCAGCTGAGCTCGGTAGAAAAGCCAATGCTCATGTAAATGCGTGGTGTCAGCGGAAATGACCACATCCGAAAGAGCTTCATAAAAGGTACTCTATGGATAGCACCAATTTCTGAAAGGCTTATCGAAAACAGGCTCCACTGATTAAAAAGTTGTACAATAAGACTTGTTTTGAAGACTTTAAATACTTTTAAATACTGGCACTGGTTTGACGTTAATTTCAGATGTTACAATATCCCTGTTCATGAGAAACACAGCATAAAAAGATGGTTTAATCACAGCAACGCCAAACAGCTGGTATACCTGATTATAGACGTCTGTTCGACCTAATAAAACGGTGCGGTTTTGCGCCCATACGTTACAGTTGCTAAAACGGCTTTCTAAGCTACTCGACGCAAGGAAACAGCGCGACTACAAGCACAAATCCGGAGAAATGACAAGAGACTTTTAACATTTCAGGCAAACTACTGGCGGCGGTCCTTCTTTAAGGAAAGGCTGGTATTCGTTGGTTGGTGTAGATTTCGCTGAATACAGAAAGCAGTTTTCGTCCACAATAGAACCTTTCGAAAAATCAGCTGCTGAAGAAAAGACAACCAACATCATCTCGTGCCCTACGTACTGAAACCTAGGTAGCATCCGAAAGATTGACTCCAATCTGATGTATAAATATAATTAATTTACACTGTTTTAATCTCAACGAAGTTGGTGCATAGCTGATATCTAATGTGTCAGCGAACTGTAAATCACGATGTAAATATGGATAATATTTTATGCTTTCGGAAAACTCACTCACATATGCTGCTCAGAATAACTTAAGGGTTGCCAAGTCATTGTTGTTGAAAGGCACAGAAACAGCTGTTCTAAAGAAGGAGCAAGAAGTACGGTTGAACTGCGCATATAAGCGGTGTCTTCAGCGCATAATGAGGGTTAAATAAATAGCATCGCAACGTAAGAAATAATTCTATTCTATTTCGGGAACAGATGACCTTCGTAGATGTAGAGATTAAGAAAATGAGGGTAGCCCTATTAGAAAAACTGGCTGAACATACGCCATTTACTACAGCCTGTGAAATTCTCGTGTGGAAGCTGAAATACGGCAGACATCGACGAGGAGGTCAGCGTGCAACATTAAGGAACAATAAGAACATTAAGGCAAATCTGCTTTGGGAGAGGAACACTTCTTCCTAGCAAACCTTTCTGGGAAGTCTTCTGGAAAGCCTTCCAACCAATGCCTCATAGCAAAAGTGTTGAAAAACTGCTGGTACATCGGATATCACAAGCCAAATAGGTTTTCGTTATGCAAACGGGTTGAGGTGATGATCTCAACGAATAACAAAACAACAACTACGTTACCAAAAACACATGCAAGCAGACGTCCTGCCAAGACGTCTACGCATAGAAAGCGTAGATGGTCACCAGCGCATTTAGTGAAAATCAGATTGAGATGAGGCGGGAGGGAGTAGTCCGCGATAACGACAAACAACGATCAGACAAGCATAATATGTTGTACGACCCAACAGTTCAGGATCAATTTTTATTGAAGATCATAATTGTTCATTAACAATGACATAGAGATTTGCAGATGCTCATTAAGAAAAATGGGGAATAACCGTACATGATGATGAATGATATATATTTACATAATCAGAATGAGAATTTTAGTTTTTAAGTGATTGTCTGCATTTATTACGCGATTATTGAACATTGAAAGGCCAGTCCATTTTCTATGCTTTTATAACAGATTCGGTTAAAAATTACCTAATATAGAAGCAAGAATTTCTAAATTTCTAAATGTAATTTAGTACAATCTCCCCACCCGCGCGGGATTAATAAAAACTTCGATTCAACGCAAGAATAAAACATTCTGTACAAGGATTTTACATCGAAACTATTAAAGACGGCTTCAAAGACAGAATAAGTAACGTTGTTAACGAATACGGGTGATTGCAAGTTCATACGTACGCGGGGGTTCGTATGTTTTATTCTACGCTTCATAAAGCTAGATAACTTAACCGCAGAAGAAAAGCATCTTTACTGTGCTACTGATTTCACGTACGCAAACGGAACGGGCCCCTTGACGAACGAACCGTTTTCGAGGAGCGTCCGACCGCGTTCCGGCATGCAATCGATGACAGGTCAAGTTAGCCCGGTGGCCACTTCAGCTGACGTCCACCCAACACGTGCAGATGCAAGTGGTAGACACTCTGACAGCCGTGACGACCGTCATTGATCACCACACGGTAGCCGTCGTGAAGGTCGAGCTTGTCGGCCGTCAGCTTCGCAGTGAATAGCAGCTTGCCGAGAAGCTGTAACGTTACACGGTGTTGATGTAAAGAAGCAGTTTAACAAAACATCGAAAACTACTAAACGTACCAACGTGTCGTCTGCGGACGTTCGCGACAGGCTCTGCAGTGGCTTCTTCGGAATAACCAGGAAATGAACGGGTGCCTCAGGGTGTACGTCGTGAAAAGCCAATGTCTGCAAAATTTGTCAACTTATTTAATACGGCGAAAGCAAAGACAAAAAAGTGGCATGTCGACCGCGACGCCCTCATGTTCCTAGAAACAAGTAAATTGCCAAAGTACGCTGCTCTACTTTTCGCTCGATCTATCCATCTTGGCAACCGCCTCTGGAATCCACTCTAACAAAACAAAGGCACTCGCCAGGCCACTTGATCACATATAATATCGCAATAATAACAAATCACTAAATCTGGCACACTTCAATAACGTCAAGTTGGCTCTAGAGCAAACGATTGTGCGAAACTGATCTCGACACACCTGTCAGATGTTCGAATTTAAATTAGTTTCTTGAAAAAGTTTATATCACATATTGTTATCATCATCGTTATTAATGTTTATCGATCAGCTGCTAGACGAACGCTGACCAAGATTTCGCCACACAAATCTGTCATCTGTAGACCTTGTCTACGTTGCTCCAACAAATACTCTTTATCCATTTGATCGGAAAGTTCTCAAACACGCCTTTTACAGCCCCTTTGAACCGAGTCAAATATTTCCCTGGTCAAACAGTGATTGGATCAGACACGAAGAAATCACGGTTTGACAAAACCACATCCAAATCAGCTTCACAGCTTATACACAAAGCATCATACAAAAACAAGACGATTTCGAGTCAGTATATCGGATAAACTGCTTTTTCGGAGAGAGCTACAGTTGAGAAACTGGCAAAAAGCTGAAGAACCGGATCAGTAAACACATGGCTTGTCTCAGCGTAGTAGATGAGAAGGTATTGATGTTGCGGAGCTTCTCTACAATGTCATACAACTAGATGCAACCAGCACAAGGCATGGAAGCCAACTGGTGAAAGGAAAAATCTTGAACGCAGTAATAGTGAATGGGACAACGAGAAAAAAAGGAGAAATTACAAATTCAGCCCAGCATGGTACAGTTCCCTGCTACATGTGCTATTTGAATTTGTTACAAAGTCATTATCGTATCCTAGCAGATTTTTCCTAATACCAATATCGTTCAAACTGAACCAAGAAAAGCCATGATCCCTCCCGACCGGGGATGCCTGACCTTCTGCTCGTCGCTTCATCAAACGGAATTCGTCGTACAGAAAATGTCCGAAAAATTACATGATGTTTGACCCCATCTACAGGTGGCTTGCTACCTTTAGATGTATAACTGTTTGGGATTTTGGTTCAGATTCAATCGAGGTTTAATCCAAAAACCAGTGGATAGATCGCCTGGAATACTTTTTTTTAAGAACAATCAACTTTATGTCTCTTCCAATAACCACTGTTTGCGCTCTTACACATTGTTCGTCTTCCTTTTCATCTTTCTGTTTGTTAGCATGCGCCTCTACAAGCTGCGTTACGTAATCTGCATTTTGAGAAGAGCTTCAAGGCTTATGCTCCACATTTAATATTCGATACAACTGTGTACGCACTGGTCGCAAATTTTCCGTTCATGCAAATATACAGTAATACTTTTATTGCATACACAGTATCACGCACGTAATCATGCATGCACAATGTGCCATTCGCGAGGCGGGCGTAACTATTTTAAGAAGCCTTTCAAAGGGTTCCGACAAAATTTTCATTACGTATCGTCCTGAATAGAAAACACGGGTTCTTTTGCGAAAACTAAGTTAATAGGCAAATTACTAAATCAAACCGGTTTTCATCAAAAAAAGGAACAGCAATATGGCTTCTAGACGCCCACCTATGGACATCACAATACCCTAGTGTTTTAGCACCAGCAATGCATAAAACAAGACACCGCTGCGGAAAACTAGAACTATGCAAAATAACTCTGAGCACAGTAGGTACTCAAATTTTCCAGGAATAAATCAAATATACATCTCGAATGGGAAAAGAACCTCTTAATACCAAAAGCTTCATCAAATATGGACCTCAATAGGTTTCGTCAGAAAATTAAAACTGTACAATAATTGTCCCTGAACTAAAAAGAGGACGGGTGCACATAACTGTGCTATCACAGAGCTGCCAACTCTGAAAAATTTTCTCCTGCAGTATTTTGGAAACGCTGAAGCACCCAGTTAATGATAAACTTCCGTCAAATGAAGCAGGCTTCATAAGAGGTATTCTAACAATGACAAAATCTTCACTTCGTAGGTTCAATGAGCAAAGCCGACAATTCTAATTTCCTTGATTTCGCAATTTCCTAGTGTTTAAGGCTGAGTTTAATTCAGTACATCATCCAAAGATTTAGAAAATCCTAAAATGCCTCGAGATACCCGAATACATCGTTTCCA